CCCCAAAACCCCAAAACCCCAAAACCCCGTGAAGAATAATTTGATGTTGAATTATGAAATCAAGATTAATGATGAATCAGTAATTTTTATTTGCTAACATTTCTAGGTATTAAATGAATCTCGAATGATCAAATCTGCTGTATTTTCTTGATTTGGCTGATCTTAGGGTCATTGATAAGTTTCATAGTTACGTTAAGATTTGATAGGAACTCTTCTTTATCTTTTAAGTTGGCTGCCTCAAGATCTAATGTTCTCTTCTTCGTGTGAATCGAGAATGAAACTAGAAGTTATTGCTCTGTGGTATTTTTGAATCTCTTGAATTTCTTCGTGTCTCTGCCATGAGTTATCTTCTGGATATCCTTGATAAGTATCTGGCTTTTAGATTTCTAAGCACCTGGGTCTTTCCAGCAAAGTATTTTTCCATTTTCTGACAAGAATATATGCCTGTACTTTGGCTATCCCATCGCTCCATATTTCAAAAATGTTGTACCGATTGCTAGCACTTTAAATGCTTTGATGTATTCAAGTTAAATCTGTTACTTTTCCAACTTACGCTTCTGTTGCTCAATACTTCGATCTCTTTCCTCCTTCTACTGCTACTGAACCTTCTGCTTAATCTTTTGCTGCACCTTATCATTGAGATCATCCATTGCCTTTTGCAGATCCTCAGTGCCACTGATATCCTAGAAATGAAGAGGGTTTCGCTCGTTCTAGTTATTAAGAGGATGTTCCACATTCAAGCCCACTTCCTCCAGTCTGCGAGTTTGATTTTTCAAGTTATCATGAAACTATCTCTCTAAAGATTACAACTCTCCGTTTTCATTATCACTGTAAGGGTTATTCCTCTATCCTCCCTCAGGGGAGCTTTCATTATTGTCATCAATCAATATTGTAGCCTTTCTGTTATTCTTCATTCTTCCTGATTTATAATAAGACCCCTATTTATACCTCTAGACTTCTCCATCTTATCTTTGCAACTGAGAGCCGCTATCAGAATGACCTCCATCATCTTCATCGAATTAATCGTCTTTCCCTCTAAATTAATTCATTCCCACCTTCAATAGTCTACTCTTGATGATTTAGAAGGTTCTGTCCTGATACTTAATGTCGTCTTGTGGTTCGAGGGTATTATCCCACTTGTAAATCTAATCTTCGTACACACTAATCAAGTAAACCTCTCTTTGTTTCTCCTCCAGATTCTGATGAATCATCTTCATAAAGAACACTCGTTTGTTCACCTAGTTGTTCTGAAGTACGATGCCTAGGTCTATGAAGTCCAGAGTTGACAGATGGAATTTGTATAGTTCCTGTAGCATGTATATATCTGAGTAGAAATAGATGTGCTCATCGGTTAATAAGCAAAACTTAGATTGAAGATTCAGTTTGTAGCTTTTAAGTTCATTATACAGTTCATTGAATTCTTGCTCTAGTATGGAGGAAATGGAATTGTCAATCCTATCAATTAAGCCCATTTCCTTTTCTTTCTTGAGGTTACTTGAACTGTTTGCCCCACTTTTAACACTCTCGACTTAGAATTGCTTATCTATAGCATTATACTAGACACTAGATTAAATGCTGACCATAGATCTAACCACAACTGGCTTAAGAGAGAGCATTACCTTTCCAAAGCAGACAGCACTCTCAATCTTTGAAATTAAGCTCTCGTCTCTTGACTCTACTTCATTTAGTTGCTATCTCAGCTATTTCTCAGTCTAAGCGAATCCCTTTACTTTCTCCTAGAGCCTTGATAGCTAGGCATCTTTAAGTTTTTGTTCAGCCCCACCCAGCTGTTCCTTGATTCTTTGGATCTCTCTGATGCTTTCATCGTCTTTAGTTGTTTTCTACTTCAAACTATCATTCTAACTCCTTCTCACATTGTCTCTCTATTCTCTTTATGCGTTGGTACCTGACAAGGTTTGCTATTACTAAAGTTAAGGGACCTGATCTCCTTTTTGAAGATCATTAAGAATGCCTAATGATTCTAGTACGCGATCCTATGCCAAGGCTTATTTAAGTGGCAACGGTGATAGCTTCTTGACCCTGTCTAAGAGCACTTGGTATTTGAGTTTAAATTGCTGTAGATCTCTAAGGCAGTCTGCAAACTAAGGCACAATCTTACCAATCATGTCAACCTACTCGCTCTGATTCATTCTAGCAAACTGATGGAACAGTCTCTTCTCGAACTCTACACTTTTCTCCTCAGTCACCTTAGTAAACACCTTCCTTTGATTAAGTCTTATCTCTTAGTTCTATGCAAACCCATCTGGATTTTCAAAGTATAGTCTTGAGTGATTATCGTAGTTTGGAATGGTGACCTAAAGCCTGTCATGATTCGTGATTAGCTGGATGTCGATGTTAGTGGCCAACTCATCTTGTCTATCTTCTCCTTAATTGCTTATATCAGTTAGAGGATTTCCCAGACCTCCTCCCAAGTTGCTATACTTTCTCTTATGAGCTACTAACCCATTGATGTCCTTGATCTTATCTATGTCCAGGATGGAAAGATCTGATTCCTCCATGTGCAGCTACACATACTCTCTCTTTTTGCTGAGGAAGTAAGTTTCCTCTATCAGTTTATTGTTAAGTTCCAGGATATTCGTGGATGTGACCATCCCTGCTGGTATTCCATTCTTTGCTATGACTGGATTTAAATCTTGGTTATTGATATTAGGAGCGTCTAGTGTCTTGAATACTTAGCCCTGCATTAGGAACTTGTACTTCTTCTCAATTGCACTTGGATTAAAATCCTCACTTTGACTCATATTATCCTGCATGAACCTACTATCGTCAATTATCGAGTTGTTCTGTTCAACCATAAACTTTTTCATTTGTTTCTTCGCCTTCCTGACCTTCTCCAATTCCTACCTGATATCTTTGAACTGATCTTATACATCATGAGCTGAGATTGATCTGTTGGGATCTGAATCATCATCATTGTCATAGTTCTCTCCACTATCATGTCTGTGGTAGTTATCTCTAGCGAAAGATTGACTAGCCCCTGAAATGCTCAGAAGCTCATCCTATCGCATTCCTATGATCCCACCTACACTTATACCCCCACCCACACTATTCAGAGTCATTTAGTTGTTCATCATTCTCTGTTGATAGAAAGTGTTTTGATTGTCAAACGGTATTGATGTGTTGTTAATTAGCTGTCCCAGAGACATGTCATTCTCATAGTTCTAAGTCAGGTGGGGCAGTTAATAGTTAGAGTTAGTCTGGTTCATTTCGTTGTTAATGTTGAGATGTTGATTGTTAGTATGATGCTAGTACTGGTGATGGTTGACGTTTTGGTACTGATTTGAAAAGGAGTTGACGTTCTTTTGCTTATTAGTTGATAAAACATTTACCTAACGTCTTTGGTTATTGTTACTCTGACTGGAGTTTACATTATCATTGTTTTTATAGCTATGCTGCGAGGAATGAGTCTCATTAAGATTCTTAGCCTTTGGGAAGTTCTGTCCATGTCCTTTAAGCTATTTTGACAATAACAACTCGTCCTCCTCGTCTTGGAAATCTGCCAATATGTCTTACTGCTTTACTCTATGTGCTTAAGATGAGGATGATGATATCAAACTATGTTAGCTCATTCCTCCATCATTTTTGTGAAAGTTTTACTAAGAAGACTTTTCTGAAGCTTGTTTCGACCTTGCCATGCGCTCTCTGTGCTTTTAGAATATCAAACTCTACTAGGATTCACTTTCATTCATTACTACTTTATTTTTATAATCTTATTTTCTCAGTTAAACTCAACCAATGATTAAGGGGTTTTGGGGTTTTGGGGTTTTGGGG